CAATTTATTGAGGGCAATCACAGTAATCAGCTGTGCAACCGTACCTTTAATCAACACAATACTTCCATCACCCTTAACCCCCCTTTCCTTTTCCCTCCCCCCATCCCGGTAACTACTAATAAACTTTGTTTTCTATACATTTGCTTTTTCTGTCTTTTTATGTAAGTGAGGTCATACAATATTAATCCTTTCATAATTGACTTATTTCACTCAGCATAATGTCTTCTAGCTCCACCTGTATTGTAGCATGTATCGAGACTTCATTTCTCCTACCAGCTGAGTACTATTCCATTGTGCATATGTACCACATTTTGTTTATCCATTCATCTATTGATGGATATTTAGCTTGTTTCCACCTTTTGGCTATTGTGAATAGTGCTGCAATGAACATTGGTGTACAAGTCTCTTTTTCAGTCTCTGCTTTCAAGTCTTTTGGGTATATACATAGAAGTGGAATTGCTGGATCATGTGGTAGTTCTATTTTTAGTTTTTTGAGAAATCACCACACTATTTTCCACAATGACTGTGCCATTTTGCATTCCCACCAGCAATGGGTAAGGGTTTCAATTTCCCCACATCCTCACCAACATATATGATTGCCCACCCACTTTTTCTGCCTCTCAGTTCATTGGGAAACTGCTTTCCCACTGACAGTGCATGCTGCCGCAAGGCAGGGGCCTTTGTGGCTGTTGGAAACTGAAAAAAAAGAAAAACTAAATTATTGTTTCTACAGGGTGTTGTATGAGGTGTGTGCATTTTTGGTAGAAGAAAGAGAAATTTTGAAAATTTTTCTTTGGGACACCATATGCCCTCTGGACTCTAGGGGGCGTCTGGGGTAGAATTAGTGGGACAACATATGTCCCTCAGGACTTGGAGGGTAGGATTGTTGGAGGGGAAAAAAAATCCGTACTAACCTGTTAACCCATTGCCTTGAAGTCGATTCCAACTCATAGCAACCCCACAGAACAGAGTGGAACTGCCCCACAGGGTTTCCAAGCAGCAGCTGGTCGATTTGAACTGCTGACCTTCTGGTTAGCAGCTGAATGCTTAACCCCTGCACCACCAGGGCTCTGACCAAAACATTCAGCAACACTCGATGATTCGGCATGCTTCTATTAATGAAAACACATGGTAGCAACAAAAATTCAAAGCAGAAAATAATTGGGTCTTGAAAGAGTAAATCTACACGCCTACCCTATGAAGGTACCGAAGCTCTACCATCCTCAACACATAAACTCTATGTCTTGTTCCAAGGCAGCTTCCTTGATTCCTGCCATTTCCCAGTGGGGAGAGAGAAAAGAGCCAAAGGAGCACACACCCAGTCCTTTTAAGGACTATTTAGTCACTGTGTAGTCACATGGCCATGCCTAGCTGCAATCTTTAACTGTGATATGGAGTCCCTGTGTGGCAACAACAGTTAAGCGTTCAACTACTAGCAGAAAGGTTAGTGGTTCAAACCCATCCAGAGATGCCTTGGAAGACAGGCCTGGGGATCTGCTTCTGAAAGTTCACAGCCTTGAAAAAAACCTGCACAGTGGTTCTACTTTGCACAGTCTTATAATTCTGATTTATGGGGTCACCATGAGTCAGAATTAATTCCACAGAACCTGGTATTTAACACTAAATAATACTGGTGAGAATAATAAAAGGCATTGTAAATTCAAGTCCAGTTACAGGTTATCTAAAATCAGCAGCCGAAAATCAAAATATTTATAAGACAAACTTGTAATCTGCTTCTACAAAAAGCTGTAATAATGCATTGATAAGGGCATAGTCCTCAATAAAAGGTTCACTCAAATGGGGATTATGTGTTTTCAGTTGCACTCTCTAAGAAACAGAATTTTTTTTTAATTTCATTTTTCCTTTGCTTCAAAGTGAAGTAAAAATATGTTGAGTAGTTAGTTGTATTCTCTGGAGGTAAAAAGAATAGGAATTTGATTTTAAAAAAATATGTTGAAAGTTCTATCTTAGGCCCCCTGTGTTATCAATATTCAACCGGTTTCCTAGAAATGATTGGAGTAGCTTACCACACCATGTCAAAAAATTAAACCAAGAAAATCTCTGCAGCACTATAAATTTTTACTTCCAATTAGCAATTAAAACCTGACAGCAGAACCATTTAAGGACTAGTATCATAAACTGTACCTTCTTTTTCTGTTTATCTGATAATTATCTAGATTACTTTATATTTTGGCTTCTCCAGATTGTTTCTATGGGCTATTTTTATGTAAATATTTAAAACAACGAACTGGGGTGATAAAAACTGGGATGCTTTGCAGAAGTTTAAGCCAAACAGTGAGGGGCTTTGGATGTTTGGTTTTGATTTCATTCTCTCTGCCAATTTAGTGTTTCTGAGTACAGGTACTGTCAGGATTCAAAGATACCATGAAAATGAAAAGCAGGTACTGTGGAAATGAGAGTGCATTTGAACTAAACCCTTAACTGAGAGATTGATTTGGAAACCTTTGGTTCCTTAATAATGTGATTTTTAACTTGGCCATTTCATCACAGACATATGACAGTGCACCGATATTCTAGGTTTCAAAAAAAAAATATTTCCATGTTAAGCTTCTCCAGGAAGAAAGGCTGTAAAATGAAGTTTGACACAAGGCTTGATGCTAGATTTTCATTTTTGACAGCAGAACATTCTAAAAGACCTCTTTCATCCATTTTTGTCTGCGTATCTCCACAGCTAGTAGATTTGGGGGTCAGTGCTGAAGAATGTCCCTGTTAATTATTTGTTAATATAATAGTATTTGGTACTTAACAAACAGTAGTTCTTAAATCAGTTATGATGTAAAATGCGATTACAGCATATACCCAGATGCTCTATGCTACAAAAGTTTTTCAGAGTTGTACATTGGATTTTCATGATCTTCTCTTCCCTTGTTTGACCACCCCTGCTTAAAGGTTTGATAAAGTTCCTGTGAAGTACAGCTCCTCCTGCATATTAATTTGAAGTTTCTTTGAAACTACAACTTTCAAAGAGAAATAGTATCTAGAATAGTTTCACTTTAACACTGTCTTTTTAAGGCGTAAAGCCATAGAAATAAGAGCCTGCATGTGAAATCCATCACAAATCTTGCAGAATGTGTTTAATGTGGCCTGTGGAGAATTTTGTAACTTCCATAAAGAAAAACTGAAGTCTTTTTTAATATGCACCTTGTGTATAATTTCACATATGGCAGCATGGACATAGTAAAATACATAACATTATAAATAATGGACTTTTAGGCCTCTCCTTAACAACCATTGTCAGGTACACATTTATATGGCTTCATGGTTGCAGCACAAGCAATCAAAGAAGTAGCCAGCACTGAAATCACCCTAGAAGCCTCTGTCAATCCATCTATTCATTATACAGTCTCAGTATGAGCTCCAGTCATTCCTAGAAATATTCAAGTCTCCCAATACTCATCCCTCTAGGGTTCTTAACCTCTGCATTTATTCTTGTCTCTCCTACCCCTGGGCCCTATTTTTATTCCCTCCCCTGTTCCTAGGATTTAACCAACCACCATCCTTAAGAGCCACTACACTCCCTCAATATTTTCTCCCTGCTTATCCCTGACCCACCAGCCCCCTTTCTCAATAACTTCTAGTACCTTTCCCCTCCTTAAAAACAAAAATGAAAAACAAAAAACTTTATGTACTTCTTCTCCTTTTCTGACTTACATGTACTAATTTATTTCATAGGCTCCTATCAAAGTGCCAGGCTTTCTACTAAGAAGGCATGGCGTAGTGACATCAGTCAAACTAGCTTCCAGTCCTGGACTTGGACACTGCACCTATCTCTCCAAGTCTGTTTTCTCTTCTGTAACTGGAGGAGAAATAGTTCCTGTAAAATAATAACAGCTATTTTATTTATTTATACTACTAATATAATAATTATTTTATTATTTGTTTCTGACTCATGGAGACCCCATGTGTTTCAGAGTAGAACTGTGCTCCATAGGGTTTTCGTGGCTGTGACTTTTGTGAAGTAGATTACCAGACCTTTCTTCTGAGACACCTCTGGGTGGGTTCAAACTGCCAGCCTTTCAGTTAGTAACCCAAGGCTTAACCATTTGCACCACCCAGGGACTTTTATTTGGAATAGCTGCTATAAAAATTAAACAAAATAACTCATATAGAGTGCTTGGTACAAAGTCTGTCAGAGTGGACCTCAATGAACATCATCTATTATTATTAAATCTCCACCTTCCTGTAAAATGATACCTGTAGGTTGTTCTCGTCTGAGTACCCATCTTTGTTTTCCTCAGAAATCAGGATAAAATTAATTGAATACAGTGTAATACTAAAGGTAATACTCTGTTTTGTGGTACCTGCTCCTAACACCATGTTTTGGAAAGACTCATACATATTCATTAAGCCTATTTCAGTCACATATAGTATTGGGGCCAGTTAAAATGCTCCAGTACAATTCTTTGATTTTCAAAGTGAGAAAATTCAGGCCCAGGGGCATGAAACAATGGAAACCCAAAATTCAGGATGGTGACCCGGATCCCGTTTGTGCTTCCAAATTGCCAGTGCACCTCCTCTGATTTGCTACCCATGGAGGAAACCAAATGTGCTACTAAAGCTATCATCTTCCACCTTTTCTAAGGAGACCTGGGATCTGGGAAAAATGTAGTTCCTTCCTTTCACCTTGGGTGTCTAGCCCCTCACTTTTTCGACGCAGCCAAACTACAGATGAGAAACCTCTCCTTCCGGGATTTTGGGAGTACTCACAGTAAACTCTTGCGCTGAGGAAGTGGGCTCCCAGCCCAGCCACTGAGCACACTGTTGCTACAAGCGAACTCCTTGCTCAGCTGTAGGCCAAGCCATCAGCAGTGAACAACCCAGACCGGGCCCGGAGGTGGGTGTGGCTTGGCTGGAATCCGCCAGGAGTGGCCTAGGTCTGGGGCGGGCGTGGTAGGGGCCTCTGGGCGTGGCCTAGCGCGTGGTGGGCACGGTAGGTGCCCGACCGACTTGGCCTATCGGAGAAGGGAGGGGAGGGTAAAGAAGGAAGGAGACAGACGGGACGTGGGGCGACCGTGAAGGTCCGGGAAGTGAACCCTGTGGCTGGTCCCGGGGCAGAACAAGGCGCTGAGAGCGGAGGAGCCAGAGCGGGCGCAGGAGCTGTGGGCCTGGTAGGAAGGGTGGGGCCTGACGTCGGCGCCTCCGCGGTCCCGGGTAGCTGCTAGGTCTGAGCGCTTATGCCTCCAGGGAGTCGCCGCCGCGGCCCGCCCGGGGAAGGGGTGTTTAAAGCAGCCTGCGCTTTGGCGCTCTGCTGCCTGTCCCTAAAATGCTCGAGGGAACCCCCAAAGCCCGGGAATGTGAGGTTGAGGGCGTTCAGGCTCAGTAGTCTGGCCTGGGCTTGGATGTGGCTTATTGCTCCGAAGTCTAAAGGTCCCGCGAAGCCTGACTTGAAACACGGAGGCCGAGAGTCGGGAGTGCAGCGAGGCCTAGGGTTCCGCGCGGCGCTTTCGCAGTGTTTCTCGACAGAAATGCTCCGGAGACGTCGTCGGGGAACTGTCTTGGGGTGGGTAAGGGGCGGCTTTTCCATGCTTGTTTTCCTTCAATAAGCTTGTCAAATCATACCCCTAAGCCTTGATCCTCAGCCTTAGCATTTACTTTACCGTCTCATGGTTATATCGTAAAGAAATTCCAAGTACACTTACATGCGCCTTCCCTACGGATATGAACAAAGTATTTACAGCCACGACGTTGTGATATTTGTGAAGACGCCTCTGGTGCAGTGACACCTGCGAGGGGGGACGTTTACAGATGAGAACTCCTGCGTTGTGTAGAAACACCAGGCCGTTCGCCCCTGAATCACCTCTGGAGTGAAGGAAACTGACAAGCACTTATTCAGCTCTCCTAAAGGAGTCATCGCAATTCATTGTCATGCAGAATGAGCATCTGTGAGAAAAGAGCCCCTAGGATTTAGACGCCTATTTAGACGGTTTCATTTTATTTTACATAGACTGTAGGAGTGTACAGCAATTATCCTAAAGGCCTGATGTAACCCCAGAAATAACTAAGCCCCTTCAAAAGTAAATTTCAGTGCACCGTGCAAAGAGATCAGGCGACTTGCTTGATTGTTGATAGCAAGATAGCAACTTAATTTTAAAAAGGATAATTCCAAACCAAAATGCACGAAGTGCTACTTTATGAAATTATGTTTTCATTTGTGGAGGCTGGATGTTGCTTAATTGTTATAAAAGTTACTAAATATAAATGTAAAATATATTTTTGGAATAAAGTAGCAAATACATTTTATTTTCACTCCTTGACTTTAGATGCAAAATAGGGATGCCCAGGCCTATATTTTTTGATAATTAATAAAAGCTAATAACTACAGATCCTCTCTGCAACCTGTCTACTCTAATTTAATCCACTCCACATCCCCGTGAGGTTTTCTCATGTTGCAGATGAGGAAGCTATAGCACAGAAGGGTTAAGCTACACTGCTGGAAAGTTTAGAGGTGGGAAAATTAATGTCTTTTTATTCCAAAGCTTGTGCCCTTACTCCTTGTGTGCCATCAAGATGATTCAGCTCATGTTGTTGTGTGCCATTGAGTCGATTCCGACTCATAATGACCCTATAGGACAGA